TTCATTACACTTTTGTGTATTGGGTTTTCCGTTAACGATTTCAAATAGCAAACGAGTTAGCGCTGTAATATATACAATATGAATGGTTCAAATTTCATTTTTCGCCTTGAGCTGAAGTAAGAAAGTCTTTATAGGTGCATAATGCAAAAACTGAAACTTTAAAAGGTGCAGGCAACTGTGTGAATGAATGGGAAGATATAGCAAGGTAATACAGAATAAAAGCAATATAAACAAACTACACTAAAATAAAAAATTGGTGTAGGAGCAATTTTGACTCAGAAATCGCAAGTAATTTAGTAATTACAGGGGAAGAAAAAACAACAGAAAAAAAAACAATAGAAACCATCACAGAAATTCTAATGGTTTCCACTACAAATACCATTAAAACCTTACAAACCATCAAGTTTTAGCCATTAAAACCATTAACAAATGGTTTCCTGTAGTGTGTTTTGGGACCAATTCCATTAAGATTTAGTGGTTTTAACAAGCCACCAATAGAAGAAGACCAACAGGGACCATTACAGTTTCTATTAAAACCAGTACAATTCCCATTATAACCAGTAAAACCATTACAGATTCTGTGATGGTTTCTATTGTTTTTTTTATAGCAGCGTAGGCACTCAACATTCACATCATTGAGATCTAAAATGTTTTAAGCGCAATTCGTAAAAAACAATTGGGGTGTTACGATACACGGTTTTGGGTTCACGAGAATGAGGCGAGATTATATTTTAACACTAGGGATGGGCATTTTTCAAAAAATATTGTATACGAATATTTGGGCTCATAAAAAAAAACGAATATTCGAATATTTATGCGTTATTTTTAATAATTAAGTTTTTGTCACGATTTCTGAACAAACTTATAATTAGGCATTATACACAACAATGTTCTACAACAAAGTTACATTGTATCTCAAGGTTTTATTTTGGTTAAAAACATGTGTGAACAAAAAATATATGCATATAAAGAACAAAAGCATTCAAGCTCCAGTGTTGCCAACTTAGCGACTTTGTCGCTATATTTAGCGACTTTTCAGACCCCCTTGGCGACTTTTTTTCCAAAAAAGCGACTAGCGACAAATCTAATGACTTTTTAGGATAAACCTTATTTAGTCTCTGAGACTCTTTAACCTTATTTAGTCTCCGAGACTCTTTAACCTTATTTAGTCTCCGAGACTCTTAACCCTTATTTAGTCTCCGAGACTCTTAAACCTTATTTAGTCTCTGAGACTCTTTAACCTTATTTAGTCTCTGAGACTCTTAAACCTTATTTAGTCTCTGAGACTCTTTAACCTTATTTAGTCTCTGAGACTCTTTAACCTTATTTAGAGGAGTAGCACTTTCAGTTAAAAAAAAGATATTATGTTGCTTCTAACTCTATTTTACATGCAAGTATAGCCGAAATCACAGCACAGCCATTGTCTTAATCGTATGTGTATTTGATTTCATTAGACAATGTTGTGATTAGGATTTTAATGCAGATTAATCTTTGAGAGCTGGTTATGTAGTCTTAATGGACCGCATTTCAGTCACTATAATATTCATTCCGTTGTCTGACAACAGAAACAGTCAAATATATTAATAAAAACAGTTTTGAGAATTTGGCTGCATTAAAATGCAGTACGTGAGCACAGGGAGGCAAGACAATACGACGTACTGACGTCATTAATATGCTACTTAGCGTATGACGTCATGTAGCGACATTTAGCGACTTTTCAGGCGGGGTTTAGCTACTTTCCATTGAAAGAAGTTGGCAACACTGTCAAGCTCAAGCAGAGCAAATGGAAAAAATAAAGCAGACCGTGCCAATTACAGTTTCTTAGCGTTTTGTGTTGAACCTCTCTCCCTCGTGGAAACTTAAAGGAAGCATGTATATGTATGTCTCGGATCATTTGGCTATCAGATGCGCTCTTCTCGCTCACTCGGAGTACAGCTGTCTTTGCTCAGTCCACTGGTGTTTGGATTTCATGTAATTTCTCATTTTGGTGGTGATATTATTGATAACTCGGTTTCACTGATTTATTTCATCAAATTAATTCCATTTAGAAATATAATTTTGATCAAAGTAAATTTCAGACTTCGCGAGGCAGACGACGGCATTCTGTGATCAAATTCAATCAACTTCACAGCAGCACCCAGTGCATTTAGCATATAACTGACTTTTAGTTTGCAGGCTTAGGATTCATCATGGGTTCCCTGCATTTACGGCCAGCAAAGCAACATGTAGTCAAATTTGGATAGTGTTTTTATTTTTCGAATAATAATTGAAGAGTTCATTTGCAAAAACCGATAACTCGGTTACATTTTTTTTCCAGAAATCACGTTTTTTTTGGGTTTTTTTTATTGCGCATTCCAAGTAATATCAAACTGCAGTTGGGTTGTTTTGATTAAGTAATAATAACTTAAACAAATACAGCTAATTTACAAAATTAAAGTTCATTGAAAGTATGTTATTTTTACATATTAAAAGTTTGTTTTATAGCAAAAGCAGGTTACTCCACATTTCATGTTTTAGAGTTTAAAAAAACACTCGTTTAATCTTTGTAATCTCCTCAGATGACAATGTAGATGCCCGACAAACGTTGTTGTTGTAGTGATCATAAACTATATGGATGTGATTACATGGAGCTTTTCCCTCACCATTGTAACGCGCTGCTTTTGCAAGCTTCCGTGAAAACGTTTTAGCTTTTATTTTCCTTTTTCACCCTGAAGAAGATATCACAGGTTCATCAAGTTCGTCGAAATGATCCTCGTTCACTTTTAGTCAGCTTTGACGAAACTCCTCTCAGCTAGCACGTCTTTTCAAAGTGAACGTAGCCTTGTCACCTGACCTGAATACAGCGCGCTGATTCGCTGAAATGGACTTAACGGCTTCTGTTCAAAAACAGCAAGGGTGCTTGTTGGCTTCTGCAGTGAAACGTGAACTCACAATGCCTTGAAAGTGGACAAAACCTGCTTTTTTGACAAAACGTGTTTAGGGTTCAGATCGCGCTATATGTGGAGACTAATGTACAGTAATTATTTAAATGCACAGATGATTTGTTCACAATAATAACAGAAGCCTGTATTAAAAGAATAAACATGTCTTCTTAGACAGTGTTAGTGGACAGAAGTGTGAGTTTATTTTCTAAACCTCACCAGGGCCAAATATTTCGTTTCTTTGCATCTTTTTTTTTCAGCGTGAGTATAATTGGACTAAAGTGAGGCATCATATACAGATATAATGGTAACATTTCTGCTCATCTTTACAATAGCTGTGTCTCATTTCGAAGGCTGCGCCCTCTGGAGGCATTAGAAGGGCACATAAGTCATTAAGGATTTCTTATTAAAGAAAAGCAACCATAATAAATAATATTCCATTGTCATTTCTTTCTTACTTTGCAGTGTTTCTTTTCTTAAATGTATGCAGCTGATGCAACCTCTGTAGGGCAAAGCATTTGAAATAAGACACTGCTAACGTAGGGATGGGTTCATTTTCTTCTTTCATTGGGTTTCTGTTTGTCCTTGGATTGCAGCGTCATTCGTTTGGTAGTAGATAGTGTAAAGCAAGTGAAGTGTGAAAATGGCTTCTCATTGGTTGTTGTTTAGTACATTTAAAGGACAAGTCCACTTCCAGAATAAAAATTCCCTGATCATTTACTCACCCCCACGTCATCCAAGATGTTCATGTATTTCAACATTCCAGGAATGTTCTCTATATAGTGGACTTCAATGGTGGCCAATGATTTCAAGGTAAAAAATGCAGCTTCAAAGAGCTCCACATGATCCCAGCCGAGGAATAAGGGTCTTATCTAGCGAAACGATTGGTCGTTTTCTGAAAAAAAATTATATTTATCCACTCTTTAACCACAAATGCTGGGCTTGCTCTAGCTCTGCGATGCGCATTAAAAACGTAATTTCTTTGCGACTGAAGAAAGAAAGACATGAACATCTTGGATGACAAGGGGGCCAGTAAATTATCAGGAATGTTTTACTCTGGAAGTAAACTTATCATTTAAGCCACATCTATGTGTTTGTATGCGTCTATTTAACCATATTTTGAAGACCCAGAAGTGAGCTAAATATGGTAAAACTTACAAAAAAGATAAACTCCTTTTGGGGACGTCCTCATTTATAAAAAAAGAAACGGTATAATAATAGAGTGCTTCCCTTTTACTGAACACAATTCTATTCAAATCAGTGCATTTATCACCAATCCATGCTTAGAAGTGCATTATGTAGTTCATTTTGATGTGGTTTTGATTCTTGTCCAAATCTCTCCCGCACAGCACGCTTACGTCTTTACAGAAAAACAGCTCTGTTAACCTATATTTAGAGTGTGTGTGAGTGTGAGTGTGCGTGCGCGTGCGTGTGTGAGTGTGAGTGTGTGCGTGCGTGTGCGTGCGTGTGTGTGAGTGTGTATGCGTGCGTGTGTGAGTGTGAGTGTGCGTGCGTGTGTGTGTGTGAGTGTGAGTGTGTGTGCGTGTGCGTGTGTGTGAGTGTGTGTGCGTGCGTGTGCGAGTGTGTGTGTGTGAGTGTGCGTACGCGCGCGTGCGTGTGTGTGAGTGAGTGTGTGTGCGCGCGAGTGCGTGAGCGTGCGCGTGCGTGTGTGTGTGTGTATACAAAGCTGCCGTCAGTAACTGTGGATGTTGACAGCACAGATGAGCAGAGATCTGATAAACATGTTGCATCTAATGTGAATTTAGTGGTGCATCTTGCATCTCTTCATCTCTGGCGCTCTCTTGAATGCTGGACTCGAGGCCACTGATGCACGTGTAATTAATATTCCTCTGAGGTTCGTTAGAGCGCAGGAAGCACCCGAGCTACTAGCTATTTTTACCAGAGTTTATATCCAGATTAAAATACTTCTGTGTTCTTTAGGCCTGTTTACACCAAGACACACAAAATAGCTACACTCAGTAAAACACATACACACATGAACTGAAATGCAGCCCCCTGAAGTGTCAGATTTTGTTCAGCAGTCGAATAAAACGTCTCTGTTATCTGTTTGTCTGTCAGACGGCAGCAGAGTATGCCAAGTCGCATCTTTCCGTCATGTTGCGGCAGCAGCTTCAGCGTTACGAGACGCAGAAGGAGAGCAGCACTCTGACCCGCCAGTCCATCCTCAAACAGCAGATACTCGACATGGACAAAGAGATCCTGGAGAAACTGTCGGCCTCCTATGATGAAGCCGGTGAGAGCTCACAGCAGTGAACCTGTAGTCTGATGGATTGGTTCTGGATATTTATTTAGTCTACAAGCATTAGACATCGGAGCTGAGCACTTACAGTAGTTTATCTAAAAATGAAAATGAAATCGGGCCTTTCAAGATTCGGATGAGTTTGTTTCTTCAGCAGGTTTGGAGAAATGCAGCATTGCATCAGTGTCTCAGCAA